GATGAAGCCAATGGGTTGCAGAAGAGCTGGAAGTGTACTGTGGAACTTTCTAAAGCCAGATTATACCCTCGTTAGCAAGTCCCTACAGCTGCAGCTGTGTGCCAGGCAGCATACATTGCCCTACATCTGTCTGTGACACTGAGTCCTCCTATCGTCTCCCCTCTGTGGGTGAGGCCTGAAGGTCAGGCCCTGCTCTTCACACATATGGCCTTTCTTTGGCCATGAGAATCCCCTTGGCCTCCCTCCAGGCCTTGCAGCAGACCCTCTTTCCAGGCTGCCTGATCAATTCCAGGTCCATGGCCCAGGGTCATTTAATGTCTCCTCAAGGTCTCCCAGACCATCTCACTCTGCATTAGTTGCCTGTAGGCCAGGCTCCACCCTTTATCCAATCAGCAGTCAAGGCCAGTGCACTTCCTCCAAACAGCAGTTCCTCCAAACCTGGCCTTCCTGGATTCTGTTTCATTGTTAGAGTCACTGAGGACCCCAAAGAGCTTCTGCTGTGTGTGTGCTTATGGCTCTTGATATTTATCATACTAGAAATTATAAAATATTATTTCTTTAAGAGCACCAACAATTTGCCATTGCATGTTCATGTAAAGTTTTTGATTGTTTGGTTGTTTTGTTAAAGAGAGTTTCCCTATGTAGCCCTGGCTGTCTTGGAACTCACTCTGATCTCAAACTAAGAGATCCACCTGCCTCTGCCTATGTCTCCTCTCAAGTGGCATTAAAGGTGTGTACCACGTATCTGGCTTGTATTTTTGTAAACAAACAAGCAAACCATCACTTTTCTGGGGGGTGTGGAGATGACTCAGTGGGTAAACTGCTTGCTGTACAAACCTGATGACCTGGACTTGGATTCCTAGCACACTTGTGGCATGGTCTTGTAATCTCAGCACTTGAGGTTAGAGATAAGATGATCCCAAGGCCTTGTTGGCAAGCCAGTATAGCCAAAACAAGATTCAGTGAGAGACCCTGTCTCAAGAAATAAGGTGGAGAAGTGATAGAGGAAGATGCCTTTTTTTCTTTTCTTTCTTTCTTCTTTTTTTTTTGTTTTGTTTTGTTTTGTTTTTTCAAGACTGTAACTTGCCCTGTAGTACCAGGCTGGCCTTGAACTCATGGAGACCCGCCTGCCTCTGCCTCCCGAGTGCTGGGATTAAAGGCGTGTGCCGCCACCACCCAGCACAAGGAGGACATCTTGATGTCAGCCTCTGACTTCCACACCTGTGTGAGCACATCCACACATCCACAGGCACATTGTGCTGCATATGCTCACAGAGGCACACAAACCTAATTTAGGAAAATGAAGCAACTTCAGCAGCAGAGTACCACTGATTTGCAGTTGTCATTCCCTTTTGTGATTCTCTGAAGCCCAGACAGCTGACTTCTTGCTCCTGCTTCTATATTTATGCTTCTGACATCACTTATCACAAAGTTCTCAAGGTCCCACTCTAGGTCGAAAAGGAGAAGGTATAAAATACATATTGGCCTTCTATCTTTTCAGGCCCCTGAGAGAGCTAGTATCTTAACAGTGCCCAATACTGTTATAGGACCTAGTAGGTATCCCACAGAAGGGAGACAAATGCCATAGGAAGCTTACAAAAAAAAAAACCCAAAGCAAGTCTTGGGTTCTGGAGCTTGGCAATCTGAGCCTGCAGGTATGAGAAGAATGCATAGCTACTGCCTCTAGGAACAGCTATGGTGAGGGCAGCCATAAGCATGACTAGGGAGCAGAAAGGATAGGGGATGCTTTCTCAGTGCCTTTTCAAAGGGGTAGGGAGAGTTTCCAGCCAAAGCTAAGGTCGATCTTTGGGGTCCTGAGACCCTTTACAAGCTCATGGTCTTACCTCACATAGCTAAAAGTGGGGTTGCTGACCCAAAGCATCCTTTTGTGTTGGGAGTTGAAATTGTGTTCCTCCGGTTTCAAGATTGCAGAATTGTGCCTTAGTTCACAGAGGCCACACTCCCCTCCTTCCTTGATGCCTGGCTACCTCTGTCTCTTGGGTCGTGTGTGGGTACTTGGAGTGAGTGATGGACAGGGAAGGTGTAAATGAGGTGTCTATGAAGGACTTCCCAGCATTCCTATAACACCACGAGGGAGGCACTGGGCAGCTTGCCTTGGGGAAAGATAATAGAAGCCCCATCCAGCCTGGATCCCCTCTGTGGGTGGAACAGGAGAAAAAAATCCTCTCCATGGCCTGGGGCCTTTTCAAGATCTTGAGGTACATGGAGTTTGGAAGGCCGTGTGTTCTTTAGAAGGTATAGTTCCTAGCAGAGAGCTAGCAGACAAGGGCTTGATGACAGAGGTTTCAGCTCTGACACCCCCCTCCCCAGCTTTCCTACTTTCATGGTGCCTCAGTTTCTTCATATGTACTGCAAGGATGATAGGCAATAAACCCACTCCTGTGGTGAAAAGGAACAGAATCAAACACAGGATAGGTTATTAAATGTGGTATATTTATTAAGAAGGAATACTCACACAAGGAGCCAATAACCAGATTGGCACTCAGAGAAGCCCAGTCCCAGATGCCTCCCAGACCTGGCCTGAACCCCGAGAGAGGGCGAGCACCTCTCCTCCCCGCTCTTTATCCCACCCCTCTATGTACCTGTCTGTGACCATGCCCAAACGGACATGGTTGGTGGTACAGGTATCCAGGGTCTCTCCCTACACTGTGGTGGTGTGAAGGTAGGGATAGCAAAATGTGAAAAGAACAAAGTGTCAGGGAGCAGAAATGGGGCCAGCTCCATGAGACACAAAATTAGTTTATCTCCCTGTTACTGCCATGGACTAGGCCTGGGTCACAGGAATTGCTCAGAAACATCCCTAGGTGAAAGAATAAAAAATTGGAAGCTAAACTAGGCGGTGGTGGCACACGCCTTTAATCCCAGAACTCGGGAGGCAGAGACGGGTGGATCTCTGTGAGTTTGAGGCCAACCAGGCCTTCAGAGTGAGTTCCAGGACAGCCAAGGCTACAAAGAAACCCTGTCTCAAAAAGAAAAAAAAAAAAAAGGAAAGCTACTGTGACTTAGGTGATGTCAGTTCCTTCCAGGGCAAGGAGGAATTTATTTTACATGTGGAGAAACCAAGGTCTAGAGGGAGAACAGATGGGTTTAAGGTACATGGCAAGTTAGTGACCAAGCTGAACCTTGAAGTGAGGTTTTGTTACCTTCATTGAAGTTCTCGGGGAGGTGTTGGGCCCTTCTTCATATGCTTATATACGTGTGCATATGTGCATGTCTCATGTCTCAGGAAGTCAGGGTCTCTTTCCAGGGCTTTTTTTTTTTTTTTTTTTTCTGATGGAAGGCCTGTCATGGGCGAATGGCTTTGTTCTACTTACTAGGGTTACTGTATAGCTGGAATTCTTGTAGGAAAATGGCACTTCCAGGTTGAAGTTCTGCTGCCATGCAGCCAAGTGGCTCCAGCTCTTATTTGACAAGAGCATGTCTGGAGGTGGCTAGCAGACTAGCCAAGGTGGGATTGGAACAGTGTCATGCCCTTATGCCTCCCAGAGCTAGAAGGGTGCTTTCTTACCCTCCTGCTGGCCTTTCCCAAGCCAGGGCACCAAATCCTGGCAGCAGGCTTGTTGTGCAGTGGCTGCTGGAAGCCAGCTATTCCACTTGGATCCAAGAATGACTCCCAGTGTGGCTAGTGGAGCACCAAAGCAGATATATAGTAACAGGCACTGGTCATAAACAGAGTTTCAGGTCTGCCCAAGACACCTGAGTCAGAATCTCTGGTGGTAGAATCTGGCCACCCATGCTCATGAATTTTCTTCCTATGTTGAGCAAAATTTCAATACTGCTACTTTACCCCGCCCTCAATAATAAGATGATCCCCACCCCACCGGAGAATCCAAGGGTAACAATAAAGAGGTGGTATTCCCAATGTGGTGCCAAAACCCTTGCTTATCTTACCATCCACCTGCCCACCCACATACTTGTCCATCCATCCACATATTGTGGTGATATATTATTTATGATTTATTAAAGCTTGCCTGAGGGTTCAGAATGCAAAGCTAGCCATAAGCCATAGAGTCAGGCAGTGGTGGTAACACCTTTAATCCCAGCAGCTATATTAGCTAAGCATAGAGCTAGGTGGTGGTGTCGCACACCTTTAGTCCCAGGACTTAAGAGACAAGTAGATGGATCTCTGTTAATTCAAGGCCACATTGAGCTACACGAAATTGATCCAGTCTTAAAGAGAAACAGCTCACACAAAGGTGATCTGAGCACTTGGGATCACATGCCTTTAATCCCAGCACTAGGGGGTTACAGAAGGAAGAAGCAAAGGGTCTCATGTGGAAATTTAGTATCCAGACAGGGAGATCTATTGCCTCTGAGACAATTCATGGAGATTGCTTCATACTCTGAGGATTCATGGAGGCAGGATCACCCTTTCAGTCTGAGGCAGAAGAGCTAGTGGCAGACTGCTTTGCTTATCTGACCATCAGTTTTTATTTTTTGTGTTACAACCTATCCATCCATTCACACACCCATCTGTTTATCCACCCATGCATTTATCAACCTACATACCCACTCATCCAATCATATATCTATCCATCCATTAATCTACCTATTCACCCACTCTTCATCTACCCATCCATCCATCCATCCATCCACAGTCCATCCATCCATCCATCCATCCATCCATCCATCCATCCACCCACAGTCCATCCACTCACATGCTTGCTTTGATCTAGTACTGATACTTGCACCTAGAAATTGAAATGGGAAAGCCCCCACTGCCAGCTTGTCTAGAAGTACCAACCATGTTTCTCTGTCTCCCTGATTGCACAGGTGAACTGGTGATTCTTTAGACCAGTCATTTGTATGTGTCCAAACATGTGACTAGAACCCAAGCCTAGGAAGCCACTGTGGAACAGTGTGTCCAAACAGCAGGGATGAAAAAGGATGAGTTTGTGCCAGGTGTTTTCATGAATGTTACGGTGTCTCATCTCCTTAACCTGCCCTCTCATCCTGGTGTCATCATTCTCATTTTACAGATGGGGCAACTGAAGACTGAAGACTCAAAGGCTATAAACCCTGGAGAGTCAGAGCCAAGACTCAAGTGTGGTCAATTCCTCTGACCCCAGAGTCCAACCCTATCCTTTGCTCTTGGTGTCCCTTTTCTTGGTAGGTCTGTTGGAATTGAAAGGCAGATTGATTTTGGAATTCTTATAATTACCTGTGCTGCCTGGACATGAGTGGACTGCCTGTAAGGTGTTAAGCTTCCTGTCACTGAAGCTGTACAAGGAGAGATAAGGATCCCATGGCTGTGGTGGTGGCCTTGCGTGAGCACAGGAGCAGGATGGAGATGGGGTAACCTTAGGGCCTGTTCCTGGATCAGGGCCTTGTAGATGGAAGGTCTGTAGCCAGCTGCTTGTCTGTGGATACCCTGAGGGGTCCCTGCCAGCTCCCAAGCAGGAGATGTGTCCAGAGAGCTGTAATTGGAGCTGGGGCCATAGGCCTGAGAGGTGCTTGCCACAGTGTCAAGTGCAAACACGCCCCTGTGGTGAGGACCTGGTGAGTCAGTCTCTCAAATGCAATGCTTGCCTTGAGTATCATGCTCCACCCCAGCCTCAGGAGGAAACTAGTGTCTGGCTTTCACATGTGTTGTCTCCTCTGGGCCTTTCCAGAGCCTCAGGAGAGAAGAAATAGTATCAATTATGAAGAAGTAGAATCTAGGCTCCCAGTGTCATGTGGCTTACTCAGGGCCATCTTGCCACAACAGATGGGACCTGGCCCTGCCTTCGGGAGTGCCTGGTTTAACCTCCTGATCATTCTAGGGGAAGATATGGGAGCCAAAGATGGGCTTCAAGAGGCCAGGGTCATAAGAAGCAGAGGTCTGGGTGGGTCCTGGATTATCCTAACTGACCATGCCATGCCTTCCATTAGCTTTTCCTGAGCAGTCTATGAAGGGTGGGTCCCTGCCTTCCCTGCTAAGCTGGTGGGCAGTGCTCAAATTTTGTATGTGCACAACCTTGGCCATTCCTCCCACACAGAGGTTGGGTCTCAGATTTAACTGAGCCGTGGGTGTGGCAAAAGAAACTCCAGCCTAGCTTCCTAGCTTCCATCATGTCATTGGAACACTTGCTTTTGAAGCCCTTGTTTGAGTATGAAGTGTTCCCTCCCAGGCTGCCATGTCCAGAAGAAGCCCAAGGTACAGAGGCCATGCCAGAAGCATGATGGCCCACAGTCCCTGAGAAGCAGTCGTATGGCCTTTCTGGATGCTGGAGTTTTCCAACAAGGCTCTAGACACCGTGGAACAGAACCACACCATCTTTGCTGTGCCCCACCCGAAACCCAGGCCCACAGAACTCGACACATAATTAAATGTTCTATGCCTGGAGAGTTTGAGGACTTAATCATGTAATTGATGGCCGAGGCAGCTGAGGCAGGTGAGACATGTCATGTGGTCCCCACGGGAGCCCCCTCCAGGCCATTTGCCCCATGTTTAGGAGTTAGGTTGAGCTCCCATTACCAGTGTACAACATTGCTTAAACTAGAGGTCATGAGACTGGGGACTCTGCATTTCCTGGGGGTTTGGATTTCAGCTTCTCCTGCCCAGACTTCACTGTGAGTCTTCTGTGCCCTTGGGTGGATGTGACTTAGACTTCTAATCCCCGTTTCCCCCTCTCTGAGCTGGGAGGGCCTAGGCAGGTGAGTGAATTCAGCCTCTATGGTTTGTAAGCTAGGAGGACCCATCTTCCTTCCTCACAGGCCACTGTCAGAGCTGAGTGTGGGGTTACAAATGCTCATTGTCCCTGAAGTCGCCCTCTTCCTAGCACTTGGGGCAGTGTACAGAATTTAATCATTTATGTTCTCTGTTCCTCCCAGTAGTTCCGTGGGATATGTCAGTCAAATGAGGAGACTCAGGTGGGGCACATATCCCTGTGGATGGAATGGACTCCAGGCTCAGTGTCCTTCTACTCTCGTGGTATTTCCCTCCATGGTCTCTAAGGATTCCTGGCTGCCTTGCCTAGTCCCAGTATCCCTTCTGCTTCCTCTTGCCTCTGCACTTCTGGGAGCTGTCACTTGGGTCTTTTTGGATAGCTCCCTTCCTTCTTGGGTCTCCAGGTCCTCATTTATGGAAGGAGGGAGTCTGGGCAGGTGGCAAAGGGCTTCTTCAGCTCCAAGAGTCTCAGGTAGGTTTCAAATCTGAGAGTGGCTTGTCTAAGATGCCTTCTTTTCCTCTCCTGGTGGACCCAGATATTCTGTGTCTGTGGGAAAAAGCAGGGCAGTCATACACAGCCTGGCTCCATTTTGCCTCAGGTTACTCTTGACAGTGACAGGATAATGGTCTCTGGGATCTCTTTCAGGGCCATGGGTTCCTTAGCAGTTATTTCTGATGGTCCATCCCCTGCTGCTCACTCCTGCAACCTACACCCCAGCCAAGTCTTACCTAACCAGCTTCACCAATCAGCCTAGGATCTCACTTATTCCAGGCAGCATTTTTGGGCATGCATTATGAGCCCCCTCATTCATTTTCCCATAGTGCTTGGGATTTCCTTAAGACCCTAGTTATATTTCAGCCTGTCTTAATTACCTATTTGATCCTTTTCATCTTCAAGCCCAGGAAGGTAAGGCCCAGCCTGCCTGCCTCTCAGCTTTCTGAGTGCTCTATACAAGGTGGAAACCAATCAGGGTAGCTTGGTCAACCCAAGTTGCACAAATGACTTTTATAACTTGTGTGTGGATGCAGCATGTATGTGCCACAGTGTGTGTGTGTGTGTGTGTGTGTGTGTGTGTGTGTGTGTGTGTGTGTAGTTCAGAGGATATCTTGTGGGAACCAGTTCTCACCTTCCACCATATGGGTCCTGGGGATTGAACTCAGGTCATTAAGCTTGATAGCAAGCATCTTTACCTGCTGAGCTCACTGGTCATAAATAAAATTTGATAAGCAAATAAGCAATGAAAACAAGATTGTTCCTTTCTTAAAACTTTCCAGCTTCATCTGCCCAAGCCTAAAGCTGGGTCAAGGAAGGAGGTATTTCAAATAATAGTATTTTGGTCTCTATGGGATTACTTTTTTGTTTGTTTGTTTGTTTGTTTGTTTTTTGAAACAGGGTTTCTCTGTGTAGCTTTGGAGCCTGACCCAGAACTCGCTCTGGAGACTAGGCTGGCCTCAAATTCACAGAGATCCACCTGCTCTGCCTCTCATGTGCTGGGATTAAAGGCGTGTGTCACCACTGCCCGGATGGGATCACTTTTGTTGAACAGTTTGCTAGTATGATGTCATTCTCCCAAATGCGTCTTTATGTCTATTTTGTGTCATTCTACAATGAAAACTGCCAGGAAAGATGTCTGCTTTACAACCAGAAGCAGTTATGACTTTCCCAAGCATGGGGTTTTATAAAGTTATTTGTTATATGTCACGGACATTATGTAACTGACTGAATATCCCCTGTTGCACTTGCTACCAGGAAGCTCAGCTCTGATGACTGACACTTTGAATAACATTTAAGACTTGGAGTCTCTGTCTTCTTTATTAGTCAGATTTTCAATTCTCCTGTTACTACTAATTTCCAATTTGTATTTCACTCCTTTGTATTCCCTTATGAGCCCTTTGTGGATTGGGATATGCCCTAAGTCACTGGGGCAAAGCAAGACTTAATTTAGCACACACGCAAAGTGCTCACTCCAGTACACAATGTTACCAGCTGACCCAGGTCTTGACCTATAGGCTGGAGAGAGCTGGTGCTGGCTTCTGAGCCATGTTCTGCTACAGGCTCCAGCCTCACAGACCCCTGGCAGCCTAGACTATGCTTGCCAGGCCTTGCAATGGATGGTTCTCCCCTCAAGAGCAAGGATCTGGATCCCAACCATCGTCTGGTGTTTCTGGCTTCACCACACTGTACTGACAGCCTGCTGGCTTCTCTCTACTTCCTGACCCCAGTTCAGGTCCTTCTACATCACTGCTTAGAAGTGTACCTGAGAAACTGCTACAACTCTGTGCTCTAAGCTACCCCCTAGTCGTCTAGGTGGTGTGTGGTTTCAGTGGCCATAGGATTAGACCTTTTAGGCTGGCCTGTTGGTATGTCTCTGCCCTGGTGACAGAGTAGGTATGATGTTAAGTTGCGACAAGACTGATCTCACTAACTACTTCTGAAGAAGTTCCAGGGAGCCCCACTTCACAGACAAGAAAACTGAGGGTTAGAGAAATGAAGTGTGCCCAAGCTCTCAAGGTCAAAGGACAAGGGGCCTTTGCCTTCCTAAGTATCCTCTGTCACACCCCAAATCTATGGTTTGGACAAAATTGGAGAGCTTCTAGTTACTTGGCTAGGAGGTCCTCTGAGGGGTGTAATGACACCACCCTGGTGCCGCAGAGAGGGCAGTGTAGTCCCTTTCTTTTTCTCTACAAAGCACTATGTAAGAAGGGGGTCTGGCCATGTGTGCTGGCTGATGGTCACCTGCTGCAGAAACTGGGGGCTGAGTGGGAGAAGGTGTTTGGGCACTGGGGACAATGAGCCTTTCTAGGATAGACTTCCTTATGGCCTCTGCCTGCATTCAGGACTGTGCCCTCTGTCTTTTCCACAAAACCAATTTGAGCAGGTCACTTAGGACTTGAAGGTAACAGGATATGCAAGAGCCCCATCCCTAGCTTGGGCATCAAGGCAGCTGGTGTCCATCCCTGTTTGAGTGACCTCAGACCTGTCCCTTGACTCTGACAGCGTGAGTTTTGTCACCTGTTAAATAATGGAATCTGAGTTTTTGCCCCTCCCTCTGTGATAAGCAGGATAAGTTTGCTGTAAAATGTTCTTTGTCTCATATCTGAAATCAAGGTGCAGAAGTGATTCCCAGGGGCTCTCTGGATACCTCCTTGTGCTACCTCTCATTGTTGAAAGTACAAACCCCACCAAGAAAAAACCTCCAAAAGGCTTCACTGTATTAGGATTCACTCATGCAGTGATGGCGTTTGAATTGGAAATTTCTGCAGAGGGTTGGTTTCTGCTTGCTGTCACACCACAAGGATCAGCTATGGTCTTGTGCCTTTCTCTAAATATTTATTGAGCTCCTGTTTCTTGCTTAGAGGCCCAGTGTGCAGCATTGGAGTGGGAGAGGCCCCAAGGCATCATGTGAGGGAGTTCTGGCTTTGCCCTAGCTCTGCAACTCATCACTTGGATGTCCTTGGACAGGTCATCTCCTTCATGAGCCTGAGCTGTCCCATGTGATGTGGGGTTCCTGATGAGAAAATATAATGAGTTGAGTAACAGCAGCTGAGAGACCAAGTGTGCTTACTGTTTTATTAGGAACAATAGAAAGTCACGGCCTTGCTCCTGTGGTAGTCATAGTTCAGTAAGTGCTTCGTTGTGATCCTCAGGGTGGGGAAAGAAGCCAGAGTGGGATTCTGTGGGCACATGGTGACAGGGAAGCTTTCTGTTGCTGGTTATGGCTTTCTTGCAGAATTGTGACTCCTGCTCAGTCCTTACTACTGTGAAAGGAAGGAGCACAGGGGATTTAGAGAGGTCCCTGCTGGGACCCAGTGGAGACACTCTCTTACTCAGAGAGGGCCATCTTTGGATGGGCTTCAGGGAAGGAGGAGTATGATGATAGAGGGTTCTTTGGAGGGTCTGTGGTAGAGTAGGCTGGGTATATTAAGGATTTTGAGAAAATCCAAAGCAAAGGAGCACAGAGGACAGCATGTGCCTGGTGGGAAACGGGCAAGCAGGGGTCGGTTCCTCCCCTAAATCAATCCAACCCTCACCTTTTGTTCATGCTATGGAGACCTTCTAACTCTCATCCCCCACCCCCACCAAGGAGTTTATGATGTGGGGAAGCAGCTTGGACTCAAAAGTTGGGCTTTCTAGACAAGAATGTGTGTGTGTGTGTGTGTGTGTGTGTGTGTGTGTGTGTGTGTGTGTGTACAAAACTGGCAGTGTATCATAACTGGGCTGAGTGAGAATGGAGTAATGACAGGATGTGTCATGGGCTATTTAGGCAACTGGAACACATGTATAGGCTAGTGGGATGAAGCCTCCATTCCACCCAAGAATGGTTCTCAAGATTCAGGCAGACTATGTGGAGCACCCTCAGTTCCTGGCTCCTACATTCTCACCCTAAGCATTCCCAATATGAGATGGACATCCTCTTCTATGCCCTGCATTTTTTCTCCCCAGCTGTTGCCCCCTGTGGATTCGCTCAGCCCCTGGCTCCTGGTTGGGTGTAGCCTGTGTGGCATGTTAGAGATAATGACTTCTGCATTACTCACTATGGTGGAGTAAACGGCCTCCTGAATTTGGTAGGCTGAAGCCACCACAGCTGGATTATACTTCTGGAGGCCGGGCCAGGCACACCACAGAGATGGTTTGTCCCTGTTCCATAACCCCTAGAAACTCTGGCTGGGATGACCTCATCTGAAGGCCACCCCACCTCTACCCCTTCCATGAGACCA